CTAAGCAACTTTGCTCAACTAGTTTGTACCTTTCATTTGTACTATCTCCTCTCCCCCGCCTAAAAAGGAAAACCCCCCCCCCCCAAAATTAAAAGAGATTGTAATAAATACCTGCCAAATTGCCAACTCATCAAATCTCTACGTGTCTGATCCCCAAATGACCGTCGATAAAGTGGACCCACTCAAAGATACCAATCTGACGGCTATTAAACCCAGATGTATCTCTCTCTATTGTAGCACTGTTGTAGCAGATCATGTCTAGTCTTGTAATCCCTCCGTTTTTAAATGTGAAATGCTAACCGCAGTCCAAATTTATCCCCACCGCCATCATTTCGAGCAAAGTGACAATTTTTCCCTTATTAAATCCAAATTCATTTTTCAGCCTTATTTTTTTCTCTCCCCTCAAACACCAACCACTCACCTTTCTTACCACACGACACATATTTGAGAATTACCGGGAAGCAATTGGCGGCGAGCTCAAGCAGTGATGGCGACTACGACGGCGGAATGGGTGGAAAGGAGGTAAATAGTTTCCATTTTTTTTATGTAATAGGTGGCTGGTAACCAAGGGTGAAAACCGGTTTCCAGATAACCGGCGACCAAATTCGGTTGACTGCAGCCGTTAACCGGTTTTCACCTCTGGTTACCAGCCACCATATTAAAAAAAAAATTGAAGAAAACTGACCCATTTTTTAATTAAGCTCCGGTAACCGGTTGTGGCCTCCGGTTACCGTGGATGGTAACCGGTTTTGGCCTCCGGTTACCGTCCACGGTAACCGGTTTTGACCTCCGGTTGACCGTGGTAACCGGAGCCCAAATCCGGTTACCATCCACGGTAACCGGTTTTGACCTCCGGTTGATTGTGGTAACCGGAGCCCAAATTCGATTACCATCCACAGTAACCGGAGGTCAAAACCGGTTAACGTGGAGTTGCGGTTGACCCCCGATTCTTTTTCCGTCGAGCCACCTCGATCACCATCCATTTCTCATCGACTTTCGCGGTCGTTGTGGCTGTTCGGTGTAGAAGGTGGTGGTTGACACGGTTGTGGTTGATGAACTAATGTTAGAGAATGAAATGGAAAAAAAAAAAGTTAGTAAGGGCAATATCGTCAGTTTGCTTGAAATGATGGCGGTGGCGATAAATTTGAACGGCGGTATTTAACACCCCCCTTTTAAATACTTAGGGTGAGTTTATCCCCGCACCCGGACCCAGACCATATATATATATATATATATATATATATATATATATATATATATATATATATATATATATATATATATATATATATTTAAAGGGGAGATTTTTCCCAAGTTTTTAGAGAGCCATATAGAATTTAATTTTCTTAACGCGCTACGTGAATTATAAATTTTAATTGTAGCCAATAAAATAAGAGATTATAATTTATTTTAAAATTAAATAATTCAAATGCCACGTAAGAAAAATTAACGAATGAGATTTTAAAGTTTAGATTAATTAAATACAAAATATTATCTTTTGAGATTAGGAATTTTATCTAATATTTTAAAACTAATATAATAACAATTTTAATCACATATATAAGAAAAATATTTTTTTTTTTAAAAAAAACTAACAAACCGTGCGATTTCATCTAGTACTTTTATATTATCCAGATTCATACAAGACTTTCTCCAAATTCACACATTATCCCAAGACTCACTCCAAACTCATTTAATACTTTTCAAAATATTTTTATTTTTTTGTAAAATATCTTTTTATTTTTTAAAAAATTATTGTAAACTTTTGGTTGGCAAGGTGGCTAATTTTCATTGGCCTTGCAAAGTCTTGACATGGGTTTGGATTTTCCAAACTCCATGTAAGACTTATGTGAGTCTTAAATGAGTTTATTGCAAGATTCTTGAGTAAGACTCATGTTGAGACTTTGCTCAAGGCTTGCAATAAACTTACCCTTAGTTCCATTTCTCCTAAAATTCTATGCATGGAGAAAAGAAAAGTGGAGCAAATATTTAAAAAGCGGAGAAATTAGAGAAAGTAATAAAAATAAAGATAGTGGGGTAGGTAGAAGAATAAAAAATTGTAAAAAGCAAAAGTAGTTGAGAGAATTGAAAAAGCGAGAATATAAAATTAATACTCCGTATAATTTATGTTGGATCCACTAGTCGATAGAAATGAATTAAATATTGTAACAACTTTCCAAATAAGGAAATAGGACAAATATTTAAAAACAGTCAGAAAAGGAAAGTGGAGCAAGTATTTAAAAACAGATATAGTATTATTTTTTTCCTCTTTCCCTATATACTCCAGACGAAGTAAACGCTACGTAGTACTTGTTTTGTTATGTAATAATCGCAACATTTTTTATTATTTGTTGTACAATAATTGCAACACTTTCTTATTTAGTACTACTATGGATCTAGTATTTATATTTTATTCCTTTTTATATATATATATGCTAGAGATTAGATTGTGCGGAGTTCTAGGAGATTTAATAAAATAAGATGTTAGTGGGGTAGATAAGGTTATTAGTTTATTGAAAAGTAAAGTGGTATGTGAGGGAGTGGAGAGTTGAAGACCATTAGAGGAGTGAGAAATAATAAAATAAGAAAGAGTGGGGACATTAGTGAGTGAAAATATATATTAAATTGTAAGAAATTTTTAAAAATGAAACTCTGCCTTATAAAAGAAAACGAATGAAAATGATAACTCCATTAAAAAAAGGTTATTCTATACAGTGCCCCTGGGGTATTGACTTTTCCAAGCTGTGCCCACCCATTTTCAAAATTCTACACTGTACCCTCAAGTTACTTTTAGCGTCTACGATGTAACCCTATCTTAATCCCTCCGTTAAATTTCCGTTAACTTCAAAATAAATAAATTAAAAAAAAAAACAAAAAAAACCCAAACACCTCTCTCTCCTCCCTCACAACTACCCACCACTACACCTCCACCGCACCACCACCGCACCACTGCCGCACCCCCAGCCGCACCACCAAGCCGTGCGCGCTCCTCTCTCCTCGACCCACCACCGCGCGCGTCACCCTCCTCTCTCCTCTCTCAACCGAGCCATGCACCTCTCTCCTCGACCCACCAGCCGCACCACCGCGCGCGACAGCCCAAATTTTCGACCAATTGAACTATATTCGTGTAGATTTTTATTGGAAAAATCAATTAAAACAAGTTTTGTGTATTGAATCTCAATCTAATTGAACCAAAATTAATGATTTAACAATTAAAATCAAATTGGGGAAAAAATTAGGGTTTTCTATTATTTTAAACCAAATTCTTTGATTTCAAAACAAAAACAACAATTAACAACTTAATTTTGCAATTAGAATCCAATGAAATAAAAGCCCTAAACCAATTTGTCAAAATTTCACTTCGAATTCGAATTCCTCCATTGCCTTGTCCAATAGTTTCTTTGGTGGTGCACTAGGTGGTGACGCGCGGTGGTGGGTCAAGGAGAGAGGAGCGCGGCTCGGTGGTGCGGCTGGGGGTGCGGCGGTGGTGCGGCTGGAGGTGCAGCGGTGGTGCGGCTGGAGGTGTAGTGGTGGCTGGTGGGTAGTTGTGAGGGAGGAAAGAGGTGTTTACGGTTTGTTGTCGTTTTTTTTTTAAGTTAACGGAAAGTTAACTTAAGTTAACGGAGGGATTAGGGCAGGGTTACATCGTAGACGCTAAAGATACTTCGGGGGTACAGTGTAGAATTTTGAAAATGGGTGGACACAACTTAGAAAAGTCAATACCTCAAGGGCACTGTATAGAATTAAAAAAAAAAAGAAAAAAAAGGAAGGAGTATTATTTTCCTCCCTTATCAACTCCACAATACTACTTCTTTTTTTTTTAATTTATTTATTTATTGTTTTCTCTTCTAGTAACAGTTACTCATAATTAAATACACTCCTAAAACTATACTTTATACTACTTACGAGTATTAATTCTCTTTTTGACCCTACCTTATAGTTTTCTAAAACTATGTGCAACACTTAGGGCATGTTCTGATTAACTGAATTGAACTGAATTGAACCTATTGGAGCTGAACTGAACTAAATATTTTATGAGAGAAGGAAATTAAGAACTAAACTGAACTGAACTTATTGGAGCTGAACTGAATTGGACTGAAAATAAGCTGAAGAGAACAGCCCCTTAATGTTGCAATTATTACAAAATAAAAGATGTAATTTATCTCTGTTTCATATTATGTGCAATATTTAATAAATTTAGACGATACAAAAGTATGTGAATTTGAACTTGTGACCTAATTATACAAGGTGTCAAGCTAAAGTATTAAGTCAAGGCTCGTTAGTATATCTTGTCTATACCTCTATATTTTTATAATATGAATGAACTTTTATAATTTGTACATTTTAGGTATCCCATTTTGACACACATAGGTGTTATGTTGTTATTCCAATGTGAAAACTTTGTACAATGAAACATGAAAATTTAAATTTGCATCAATTAATTACTCGAGTATTTAATTATCAGTAAGCTAAGTAAGGGGCAATTCTTACAAGTACTAGCATGATTATATTTTATATGAAAATTCAAAAATAGGATACAAAAAGGGAATGAATACTTATTGATGATTAATGAAATAATTGGTTATAATTTTGTATTATCAAATTAGAGCAATTTAAAAAATAAAACGAATATTCTTTAACTTTATTAAAGGCATTTCTCTTCCGCTTAATTTTTGTTCAATTCAGTTTCTAATTTTCTTCTCTCATAAACAATTCAGTTCAGTTTAATTCAGCTCAGCTCAGTTCAATAAATGAGAACATCCCCTTATTCTAGTGGAAAGAATTATGAGTACTTCGTATCTCCTCGACTCTCCAACTATGTAACATACATCTCGTTGTAGACACCTTTGGTGTTCCCTGAAGATCTAAGGAATATTATTTCTAGAGGTAATCATCACTGGTCTAACCTGTTAATCCAATCTGACTCCGTTTATAAAAAAAAAGGTTTAAACAAGCTTAAAAGCGTAACTTTAGTTCAAAGCCTGAGCTCGAGCCCGAACCAACAAAAACCAAAAGGTTTGCTTTGATATGATTAGTCCGACATTATTTTACAGGTTTGAACACAAATTTTATTCTTAAACCTTGCTCGGTCTAACTTTTTTTTTTTTTTTTTTTTTTCAGGAACGTGTATCACCTCTAAAAACACCATATTACGCTAATCCTGACCTTGGCCTAATTTGATTTGCTTTATACTCGGTATTAGATTCCGATTTGATAGGACGCCTTCTTAGTTTCTCCGTACCTACCCAAAAAGAAGGAACTAAAAAATTGTCTATAAGTAGTACTGTACTTTGTACAATTTTCTTTTAGCTTCCCAGAATACCTCACTCAAAAGTCACTCTTCTTCTTCTCACTCAACTCTTTCTTTAAGCTCAACTCCCGAGGACAACTTCCATTTTCTCTCTCCTCCCCATCCGTTGAAGTTTTAAGATATTGAACACCTTCGAATATCATATTCTTATATCATATAGTATTACATGTATGTTAAATTTATATTAATATATCTGGTATTGTAGCGAGATTTCGAATGGTGTTTTGAATTTAGCAGTTTTAATAAGGTGTAATGGATCCGCAGACGACGCTGATGAATGAAACGGCGTCGTTTAATCTGTCGGAGATCTGGCCAGTTCCGTTGAACGGTGTCGCTGCGTCAGGATTAGACCTCCGGAGAAACCCGTTCGGGCCGAGTTTGGCCCGGTTTGTTGACCCCGGCCCGAATCTCGAAGTTTCTGGAAGCGACGGCGGTGGTTGTGGTGCGGCCCGGAAGAGGAGAGAGAATGTTGCGGATGATGATTCCGTCAAGGGTGTGTGCAATGGCATGGTATTTCTATTTTTCCTTTTTAATTTGCTTAAATATCATCAACTCATTTTTAATTTACTTCTGATGATTTTGCTTATTTTTCGAAGATTTCTGATTTAATGACAGAGTTTACTTACCTGCAGATTAGTATGAACTGTTGATTTATACGAATTTTAATTGAGATAACTATTAATCACGTCCAAAATATTACTAGCAATATTTATTTGATTGAATTTTGAATTTTGGTTGATATTTTTGTACGTGCTAAATGTGATCAATGATAATCATATTGATTTTAGGCTACTTTAGGTTATCAATTATGATGGCAACAAGTTAAATTAGCATTAATTATAGAGTTTTGTAATAATATTGCACTGGGTTAGGTAGTCACTGTTATTTAGGTATTAGTTAGATATTTTCGAGATTTTGTTAGTTTTGGTTGATTTAATCAAAATGAAATTAGATGGAAAAATCGAGCAAATTGTTGGATTGGATAGGAATTTACATGATGATTGATGAATACTTGAAATCGATTGTGTCATCATTGTTGAACCTATTATCTATGGATTGCTGAACTGTTTTTATCTAGTATTTCTTGTTGTAGTTCTGTATGTAATGCAAATATGCAACAGAGAAGACTTTACACTCAATTTTCTGTTTTGACAGAGTGATTCTGATGGTAAAAGGCTCAAATCAACAGGATCCGGAGATGAAAATCAAAATCAGAAAGCTAATAACGAAACAACGTCTGGAAAAGGAGGTGAACAAAAGAGTAAGCCAGTTTCTGATCCATCAAAGGATTATATTCATGTTCGAGCAAGGAGAGGTCAAGCAACTGATAGCCATAGCCTTGCTGAAAGGGTATTTTCTTGCTAACTTGTTTTCGCTATTTTTAGGCCTTCATCATTTTTTGTAAGTCTAAATTTATAACCTCACAGTAAAATTGTCTATTATGTGATCATTTAAAGAGATTATGTCAAAAAATAAATATATATTGTATTTATCAATTTCTTGTAAACCATTTGCTGTCAGAGATCTAGGAATATGATACAGTTGATAAGATATCAGATATTTATTTTTTTTTGCTGGCAGGCTAGAAGAGAAAAGATCAGTGAGAGGATGAGAATACTACAAGATCTTGTCCCTGGGTGTAATAAGGTTCGACCTGCTGCTACGATTATTCCACGTATTGCTGTTGTCATTATTATTGTCATTTGAAGGGCTGATAAACTGTCATATTGATTTTTGCAATTGACATGAGTATTAATTGGACTGAATTCTCGGTCCACTTTTCTCTTATTGCATCTTATCAACTTATCTAGTTACGCAGTAAAATCCTACTAAGATTTTTGGTATTTGGCGGTGTTTGAGTTTTCGAATATGTTTGAAGAGGTTCATGATCAGTATCCTGACCAAACTTCTGGGTTCAGGTCATTGGCAAAGCACTGGTACTTGATGAGATCATAAATTATATCCAATCGTTACAGCGTCAAGTTGAGGTGTGTAATTGCTGAAGCTGTTGGTTGTATGTTCTTTCTGTTGCCTTCTTATTGAGCTGTAATGCTAACCCTGAATGCTCGTTGCAGTTTCTATCGATGAAATTAGAAGCTGTCAATACGAGAACTAGCCCTGGTGTTGAAGGATTTCCCTCAAAAGATGTAAGTAAAAAGACTACAAACTATTGTCTCTACAAAGAATGAGCTGTGGCAATGTATTTTTTTTTCCGTCATCGGATCCTTTTCCTACTGCTTTGTTAAATATGAAGTATGTGATACGTGTAACATTGGAATGTAAGTTTTGCAGCAGCTTGCAAGCTTCTGATTGGCCTTAGCTTCAGAAAATTAATCGGCCCTTCCTCTGACTGTGTTCCCCTGCCAATCTGCAATTCAGAATGGCATTTCTCCTTCTTCTGGCATATCCTGGTTTTTATCAGTGTTTTCAAGCTCAAGTTCCCAATTTTATTTTTTATGGGGGAAAATCAGTGACTGATTCTGCCAAGATACAGCTGGCTTTTGAAGAATACCAAATCAAGTTTTATTCTCCCTCCGCCCCTTAAAGTTTTCCCCATCCACATTTTTTCACTCTATTAAGAGTTGTGTTTTGTGATTAGGTAGAGCATAGACTTATGTGGGGTAGTAATTAAAGTAGAGACTGATTGTAGGGATCATATTAACATATAATGGGCCAATAGGGTAATCTTTAAATGATGGAGGGAGCATTTAAACATTAATTTTGGAAATTCAGTCTTATACGCCATTGAAGTGATCGTATTACTTGCTTGATTCATACCTTTATTGTATAGAAACAGGAATGGGGAAGTAAAAGTCGTGAAATGAGTTTTCATACTATTGGGGGGTGGGATGTGTAATGCAAAGTCTAAAACACATTTTAGTTAACTCATTCAACTCCATTTTTTTGGAGTTTTTATTAACAAATATTACTAAATAAATTAGAGGTTTTCATCTTTACTATACATGATGTTTAGAAAGAAGAGGTCATGTTGTTACTATGCAAATTTTTTGCTGGTCAATCATAGACACGGAATTGAGTTTCCATTTCTCCACTTCCTGTTTCGCTCTCTCTCTATGGTTTGTTTATTTTATTAAATGCTAATTCAGAGTACTAATGGTAGGGACAATTGCTACACATGCTCTGTCCTATAGGTAATCTTAAAAAGCTTCATCAGATGGAAGAATTTGTTATCTAACTTGCTAGGAAACCATTACGGAGTATTTGTTTAGCCTTATTCATGCAGATGTCACATATTTTTCTCATTAATGTTCTTACGATTGCTTCAGCTGTAGCGTCATTAGTTGGATTTTTTTTTTTTTTTTCCTACTCAAGTGTATCCATAGAGGAATTACCATTCATATGTTTACTTGGTTTTGCAACCTCTATGTGACTTTTCAGTTTGGCCAACAAGCTTTTGATACTTCTGGAATGGGATACGGTGCACAAACCCCAAGAGATCAGTATGGTCGCGATACATCACCAGAATGGTTACACATGCAGATTGGTGGTGGTTTTGACAGACAAACATGACAAAAGTCCACTGCTTTTCTCTCTAGCCCGGAAATAAGATCCATTTTAGCTAGAAGTAGCTCATACTCCTTCAATGACTGTAATATTGTATACCAGTCTACTAGTACCTTGATATAAACACAGACCTTACATCGATTACTGAATCAGGCGTGAAGTGTACTCTGTGTTTGTAAGAATACTTCAATTGAATTTACACATTCCCCTCTTTATCACTTTCCTCTTAAAGCATATGTAATACTCCGTACTTGTAAGAATGTTCCCAGATCAAAGGCTAAGCCTAAAAGTAGTCTTAGCGTCTCTTAGAACAAGACAGGGAGTCAGGGATACTGATGACTGACCGTCTGACCCTGGGTGTTTTCTGAATAATACGAAGTAATATGTTAACATGCAGGCCATATCCAAGTGGGGGTTATTGCTTGAAGGCCTTGAACCCTGATTAATAAGTTACAGACCATTGTCATACGTTAATCCTACTGCGACTGCCTTGTAGCTACTAAACTCCAACTAATCCGAGTTCTAAACGGGTTGGGCTATAAATAGCGGAAAAAAACTAAATTTCATGGCTTGTGGTTCTATGCTGTAACTACAAGACCTATATTCTTCACTTGACTGATTAAAAGGGTTAAATATTCTGAGGATCTTCTTATCGCTGTCAATGAAACTGTTAATTATGAATCTGCTAGTAACTGCTTTACAGGGTATTAATTTGGAAGTTCTCTCTTTTTTTTTTTTTTTTTTTTTGATGTTTAGAGAGCCACAAGGGCGGGACGAGAGTCAATCCCAGGATCTCTACAAACCGGGATGAAAGCTCTAACCACTTGAGCTATCCCTTACTCTCATAAAACTCTTGGAATCGATAGGGAAATTCTATAAAGTACGGAGTACTTTGCAACTAGTCCTTGTATACAGAATTACAGATGGAACTCCATGGAAGTGTTGCATAGTTTATAATTTTAGCCATCAGCAAAGCGGCTACCGGGACATGTTTGGTATATGGTTCAACTGTCCAACCAACCAATCTCGAATAGTAGCTCATCAGTCATCATTTCTTTGGCAGTCGTTCCTTAAATCTAGAATACACTTTTTTTTTTTTTTGACATAGAGAACTATAAATGAAAAGCAAAATTACAACCTAAACTAAGTAAAGAAAGCAAGATTACACGATAAAACATTGGGGGTCGGACCATACAATTTCTTATGATTGGGAAACCAAGTATACCCGATGGGACAAGAAGCTATTCTCTTAGAGCCGCTTAACCTGCAAAACAAAGAGTTAGTAAAAAGCACGGGAGACCTACTTTGCAGAGTGGCGTATTTTCGGGGAGACGAGACAACACCCAACAAATTTTCAGAGGAGGACGTTGTTGGGTGAACGGAAGCCTACAAAGGGGAAGAAACTGACGGAACTGGTAGGAGTGTCAACGTAGCCTCACATGATGAATCTTGACTTGCCATACCTATGGCTGGATCTACTTGCATCAGAACTGGAGTCGTTTCACACCTAACATGCCAGAACCTTCTTGAGTTTCACCACTATCCATCTTTCTCAAAGGATTGGCTACTCGGATGGTAATGAAATTCTTTTGGGAAGAACAATAGTATTGTACTGTTCTCCCTTTGGAAATCACTCCATACATTGTTGGAGTGAGATGCAAATAGGAATCATATCGCTTTCGGCTTGAGAACCGAAAACTTGACCCTGTCAGATTTGAGTTTTTTGTTTCTGAAGTTTCCTTCGGGACACAATTGTTATCTATAATGCCGGGCCTAAGATCTTGGTTGGTAGGGTTGACTTTACCCTCCAAATCCAAAGAATTGTCGTCAACATTCTTATCCATGTTGATGTTGTCTGTCACACCTGTACACCTTCAAACATTACCATCACCACGACCATCTTCTACCTTTCTTTTCCCTTTTTTCCTTAACTTCTTACTATTATCTTCTTTCCCCGAATGAATATAATCTCTAAACCTATCATTATCCCTTGTTACTGCAAGTGCCTCGTCAACGAAATCTAGAGTCCAATCCAATAAGGATATTACCTCCTTTAATTTTTGTTGGAACTTAGTGTTTTTAGGATCTAATTTAAGGGCTTGTGCAAGATCCATGAAAGCTAAGGAAGGTTTATTAAGCTCTAACGCTGCAATCGCTCTTTTGAAGTAAGCTTTCACATTAGTAGTATCAAAACACAAAACTGCTGAACATAATTGACCTACTCTGTCATAGTCTTTAACCTTGATGAAGCAAGCACCCAAGTTTAGATTAAGGGACACAGCTATGCTCGAAAACAATAATATATCCTCATCACTACAAACTGAAGCAAAGGACAATATTTTTAGAGCAAGAGAGTATTTCGCAATAGCAGACCCTATTTGGTTTTGCTTGTAGAGATTGTTTCTAATTGAGAATACCAAAAGGATTCTCCAATTGTCCAACTAAAAACTCCAACTCATGAGAAGAGACATCATTCTCTTCAACATGTGAAATACACAACATCCCCCTTAGTTCCTCAAAGCTAGCCATTAAAACTTAAACACACTTATTAAAACACCAAAGACAAAGTTAAACTAAACAATTATGCTTCCCTTAATTACACAAAAGGGTAGACCATACCAAGACGATGAGCAGGCCGACGATACGGAAACCCGAACTCCACTTCGTCGGTGGGACAAAGAGATAACCGGTGGCTCAAAGACAACGTCGAACTACCTGCGAACCTTGAAACAAGTCACCAAAGGTACCGAAGAAGAAACCCCCAATTGAAACCCTAACCTACCAAAACTCCGAAAAAAACCGAATCGTATGGATTGGTGGTAGGCGAAACAAGTCTAATCAAGCGCAACCCTTCAGAGACTGCTCGCCGGCGACCGTATAAGAGTAGCGACGCTCAGGTCACCGGCGGCAGGGGAAGATCATGGGGTGGTGAGTGTGGCTCTGTTTTGAGGAGAAAGGCAGAGCTTCTTTTTAGAGAGAGAAAGTGCAACCCTTTTTTTTCTTTTTTTGAAAGAGTAGTAACATTTACATGTTGCAGCTATTTTTGTAAGTAACCAAAATATTATAAAATTATTTTTGTCTAAGTATATATATCTCGTGCTTTAGCATGAGTACGTTCTAGTAACAATAAATAGGAGAGTGCTTGAACGCACGAGGAGCGAGTGTTAAAAGCTGCTCTTTAAACCTTTTCTATACGAGATCTCAATTGCCTATCCTAGATTGCTAGCCATAATGATCTTAACCCAGGTGATGAAATAAGTAACCCATGTGCACGAGTAGTGTCACTTAAGATCTCATTCGGTAGCACATTAAAAGTAGGAAAATTGAAAATTCCCATGAATTTATGAATGAACTTGTTGTGTCACAATAAAAATACAAAAACGGAGGAATTGAAAATGCGTGGGAATTCAAATGTCCTACAAAAACATGGAAATTAAACATGGAAATGTCAGCTTAATTTTAGTTTAGTTCAGTCAGTTCAGTTCTTAATTTCCTTCTCTCATAAAAAATTCATTTCAGTTCAGTGCAACTCCAATCACTTAAGTAAATCAGAAGAGGCCCTTAGTCTCCCTTAATATTTTTAATTTTCCCTCAAGTTTATCTTAGTACAAACCATACAAGATATGAAAATGGCCATGAATTTCATGTGGGATTTTTTTTTTTTTTTTGACGAGAAGAAAAAGGATTTCATTGATGAAAGATAGTTAAACGACACTTACAAACAATTTCTAGAAGCACTAATCTAGCCTTTCAAACCAATTACCATGTGTTGTGAGTTGTGACATCAATCTTACAAACTTGGATTTTTTTTTTTAGGATTTAAAACTTGGATTTTTCTTTTTCTTTTTATTTTTTTATGACGGGAAGAAAATATCATCATTTGTGATTAGGCATACAACATCTACAATAATAGTATTAATCTACAAACCACATATTTAGAGAAAATAACATAACTTTTACAATCAAAATCATAACTATTTTGCCGACATAGTTCACACTCCACTACCTTAAGCTTTGGCGTGAGTAATAATTTTTGATGTCTTTACGCTTTTTGAAATAGAAGCCTTCCAAATTTTCGCTGATATTTTGATTGTAAAGTTAATGACAAACCCTAAATCCATATGAATCCAAATCACCTTCCCAATTAACCAAACCCTAAAAATAATATTCTCTTCCCAATTAACCAAACCCTAAAAATAATATTCTCCTCCATGGATGAGAATCAAAATCCTAGAAAATTGGGACAAACTAGCTCTCACAAACGGAGAGAACAAAGCAAAGCGAAAAGAAAACAAAGCAAACACCTAAACTATATTCAAATGAATAGTTACAGCCTAAATAACCCCCTAAAAATTGAAAACCTTAAAAAGGAGAGAGCAAAAGGGCAAACATGCAAATAACTACTACCTCCGTTAAATGTTATGTACAACTTTTGAATTTTTTATATTCGCAAATAATACCTCAAAGTTGCACATAACATTTAACAGAGGTAGTAAAAAAATTAATTGGATTGAAGTTAAAAATTATTTCATATGCCCCAAAACATAATTTTCAATTCTATTTGACAGGTCATTAAGTTGTATAGTAAGACCCCCGTTCTTTAGAGCTACTCTGCTCTGCTGAGCCTTGCTCTGCTCAAATCAAATCTGCTCTGCTCTACTCAAAAGAAATCTGCTCTGCTCTATTTTCAAATAATAATTAATAATAACAATAATAATAATTAATATTCAATAATAATAATAATTAATATTGTATTGATGATAATAATTTATTATTTTGAATAATTATAATAATTATTAATATTAAAAATAATTTTAATAATTAATAATTATTAATAATAATTAATATTTATTAATTATAATAATAATTATTAATAATAGTTATTATCATTATTAATATTTAATAATTCAAACTATTAAGAATTAATATTTATGTTTTAAGTAAACCGTTGTCTTTTATCTTTCTACTATTAACATATCTTAAATATGACATACATATATTTACAACAACAACAACAAAAACAACAACAACAATATTAATAATAATAACATTGTTTGTCAAAAAAATAATAATCACATTAATACTAGTAATACTATCCCCGGTTTATAAGTGGAGCGGCTTTTAGTGGAGAGAGGGCCGTTTTTTTTTTTATATTAGGAAGTGATGTACACGTTCTATACCATATTTTACCCTCATTTTATAGCTATTTCCGTATGGT